GAGCCCGAGCCGAGCCCTGGCACTGTCCGTCCGCCTTCTGGCTCCCCGAGAGCCCCGACTGGCCGGAGCCCGAGAGGTGGCAGCGCGGGGAGCCCCACGCGCGAAGTGAGCGGCCCGGACCGGACGGGGCTGGAGGAGGCGCTGCCGCCACAGTAGCCAGTGACGGGGGTGCGGAGCCGCGGCCTCCCGGACCCTGCTGCCCAGGCCCGCCCGGGGAGAGCGGGGAGTGCGAAACCCCACCCTCCGGGGCACCCCAGGAGCGGAGGCGGGACGGGCACGGCGCGCCGCTCTCCCCGTGGAAGCGAAGACCCTCACGATCCGCGCGGGGGAAGGAAGGAGCCCTCCCAGGGCACGAGCCGCTCCTCCTGGAGGCGAGGAAAGCCCGGCCCGGCCCGGCAGAGGCTCCAGAAGGAGAAGGGGCGATCCCCGCGGAGGAAGCGGAGCGGACCGCCCCGCGCGCCTCGCCCCTCCAGCCACACTCTCAGCACTTCGGGACTTTCGAGGCAAAGAGAAAGGGGGCAAACCTATGGCATAGGCACCCTCCATCCTCGCCGGTACTCACAGAAGCAGAGGACCCTCCAGGGAAAGAAGAGGAATCGGCTTTCAGCCTTTCGGGAGAGGGGAAGGACTCCCCCCAACTTCCCCGCACCTAGACAGTGGAACAGGGCAGAGCCCCTCAGCCCCGGTCTCTAGCCGACCCGAGGAGCCCTCCACTCCTGAAAGATCCAGTTGGGGGGGGAGGGGAACTCCCCCAAGGGGGAGGAGACAACTCCTGGCTGGGAGAGGCTCCTCCCCTCCTCCCCAGCGTGACAGGCAGGGTGTGGGGGGTGTGCCACCTTCCCCAGGTAGGACCTCCTTCTCCTCCCCCGCCCCCTCCCTCCGCTCCTCATCCTCAGGGGACCCAGGTCCCCCCCCCAGCTTGGGAGGCTCAGCCAAGCCCAGGAAGAGCCACTGAGGATGAGACGGTTCATCTGCCTTTGAAGAGGGGGATCCCTCCAACCCCAAACTCCAGTACCAGGTGGTTCCCTCCCTTTGCTGGGGGAACCTTGGAGACAGGTTAGTGCGCTCTTTCATCTTCTCTCCGTCATCTTTAGGCACTAGCGGGTGTAGGGGTCTGAGATGGTGGCTCTTGGGTTTCATTACTAGGGAAGGTAGAGTGATAACTCAGAGAAATGTGTTCTGAAGCAACTCCTGGATTCGAACCCACACCTTGATGCAGAGGCTCTGAGAAGTGGGTTTCTTAGTATTTGGGCTCTAAAGGGATGGGATTCCTCTGAGGTCCCTAAGGAAGTGTGTTTTTCCATGCTGACAGCAAAGGGCTGTCAGAAAACACCTGCATTTTCCAAATCCATCCATACGGTGTAACAATGATGGACACATCCCAACCAAACTCCCATACCACCCTTCATCCTTGGGGCCATCTTGCCTGGACAGTGGACCCTCTCACCTGGAGAGGGGGCCCTCACTAAAGTCAAGGTGGCATTTTGTGGCCTGGCCTTGCTTAGGCCTTCCACTGGTATTACATTTTCTTATCTGTAACCCTAGGTCAGCTTTATGTCCGCCAGAACTCTCTCCCACCACTGTGATTACTGCCCCCTTGACCAAAAAAAAAATCTGTCCCCACTCACTGTACCTCAGATACCAAGAAGCCTCCTGTCCTGATATTCCCATTCCTGGCTGGAAGCATGCCTCTGTCAATAAAATCCAAAGGGAAAATGGGAACTCCACATGCCCTGAGACAAGAAGAAAGGGCACAGGGGGATGCCAACTCCTGGACTGAAGTTCCCTAATGCTGACCCCGTATCACTGCCCCAGTTCCCTATCCAACTCCTTTGGATAGTTCCTCAGGAAAAATCAGATCCTACACAAGAAGAGAACAGTGTTCTGCCCAGCCTCCTTCCACTCTTCCATCTAAATAAGTTTGCCACCAGGGAGATGTGACCTCTGAGGAGCTGAGTTCCCTTTCCTAAAAGCACCTAAGAGTCTCATCTTCTCCCTTCTTACTTCTTGTTCAGTTCTGGGTCTCTGGAACCTTGTATTTAAGTTTTCCTTTGTAAAATAGGAGTAGGAATCATCAAAGTCCAGAATCTTTAGAAAATGCAGGGAAAAGGTGCCAGGAAATCCTTCTAGCTAAGCCCAGGCTGGTGGTGTTTAGTAGAGCTCTGCCTTTCAACCTGGGATCACTAATTGGGTGCCTGCCTTCCTGCCTTGCCATTAGGAAATATCTTCTGTAAAGGATATTATACCCTACAGCAAGGCCAGGTTTGATCTGTTTGAGTTTTTATGTTTCTTCTTTCTCTCTTTGTCTGGGCCATGGATGAGCTGTCCTATGTCCCTAAGTACATCCACTTGGTCCTGGAATCTACCTGTTAGTAGTGGTATAGGAGTATAGGAGACAGAGCTGCTATCCAGGTTTGTGTGGCTGTGCTTTAAAATGATGTGCATATGTTTCTTAATCTCTGTCTTTGTTTCAAGTGGATATGTTTCTGGAGACAGGTACATGTGTGCTTTTCAGACCAAGCCTCCAATGACCTAGAATTGTATGTTTCCGGTAGGCCTCTAAAAGCAGGTGCCCCTGTGCAAGGACCTGGGGAGGGCCCTGGTAAGGATGCCCAGCCCGGAGGAAGGGCTTTGCCTCTTCTGGCCAGCGGGAGCCCTCCTGAATGGCTGCATGAAAGTCATCCCAGGCAGCAGGATGCCCCAGTCTCAGGCTGGGACCACTTCTCATAGAACTAATAAGAGAGCTTTGTTTCTTGTATCTCCGGTCTCCAAAGCATGAGGATCTTTGGCTCTTAACCCTAGAACTACTTTCCTGACTTCTGAAAAGAGACAACTCTGGTGTAACAGCAGTTTATTTCTTACAAAGTACTTTACCAGATGCTGGAATGCAACTTGTTGAATGGCTCAGAGTGAATAGCATCCCAACACCTTCAGGTGTACCACCACCACACAGCTTTGCTGGCCCTTCTTGCTCTGTTTCCCAGTTCTCCTTGACTCTGGAATCAGTCAGAAGCAATGGCTCTGGGGCTGAATTAACTGTGATTTAGAGAGTGCTATTTTCCAGATCATATCTTATGAGCAGACCAAGTTCCCCTTGAAAAATAAGAGATGGTATTCCCCCATTCCTTCATCCTTGGAGTCTCCTCAGACCTGGTATTGGTCAGTACTGGCATGATACTATCCCCAAAGGAAAAGCTCTTGTTTCTGACATCCTGAAAACGATTGCAAACTCAGTGCAGGCTTTGCAGTGTAAGCCATCACAGGCTTTCTGCCTCCAGTCTCACCTCTCTGATCTGTCAGTTTTCTAATTTTTAATTTCTAATATTCTCTTTTCCCCTATTCAAAAATAATAATAGCTATACTTACTAAATGCTTTAAGAATATTAAGATAACCCTCTCAACAGCCCTATGTAGGTACAGTTATCTTTTATTTATAGGTGAAGAAACTACAACACACAGAGGTTAAGTAATTTGCTTGAGGTTGCAGTAGGTAGTGGAGCCAGGACTGAAACCCAGGCAGCGCGACTGGTAATTGGTAATGTGGTTAACCTAGCCATTGCTCTATTAGTTTTGGCATTATGTACAAAGCAGGAAATTGTCACTCCTTAATACCTGACCTTGGCGCCATACAAAGAACAATTATTGGCCCTGCAGATAAAATGGGAAGAAAATTGTGCCTATAATTTTGGATCGTACATGTCTCATCCAGGATCAGCCTTCCACTCCAAAAGAATGTCTTTCTGTTTTGCTCTGCCTTTCTCCCAGTACTGTAGTCTTCATTAGGCGTCCTGTGGATGTGATGGAGCCTGCCCTTTGGCTGCCTTTCCTAGTTTCTATGGGTATTTCCTTTCAGTCTTCCAGCATGCAGAGAAGAATGTGGCCTGACTCAGGTTCTGCCCAAGCCCAGTGGCACGAGGCCCACCTGCAGAGAGAGGTCTGGGTAACTAGGTTGGCTGGACTGAGAAATGGAAGTACCTCTTGTTTGCCTTTCTAATAATAGCCCTGAACATTAGCCTCATGCCATTATTTTGGGGAGCGTGGAATGTGTGGCAGCCACGAGCTCATTAAGCTTCATTCACTTCCCTCCAGGAACGAAGCTTTGGCAGTGTTTATGATTTCATCCCTTTTATTAACAGGGGAAACTGAGGCATCAAGACTTCAGGAAGCAAGGGGTGGTTAGGGCAGGGAGCAAGGGGTGGTTAGGGACATTTACTGAGTCAATGTCAAGGTTGGGAATGGAACATAGGAACCTCAACCTCTGAGCTTTTTCACACTGGGCTGCCCTTCAAGAATGGGGAAGTGACAGGAGTGGGGAAGTGGGATGGATTGAAGGAGAATGGTGCTGAAAGATCAGAAGGACCTTTTGCTGCAAGCTTCTTGTAGCTGGGAAGACTGGAATATATTTTGAGTGCTGGGGCATATCTGGAGGGCTGACTGGGCAGGTTCTGGAGAAAGGTTAAATTTAACCTCCGTGTCCTAACCTGGTGCTGGGGTAAGGATAGAGAAGGGCAGAGAGCAACTAGCAATAGGCTGAGAGTGCCTCCCTTTTTGGAAGTCACAGTGATTGGCATGTGCCAAATCTGTTCTGTAAGCCCTCTTAGCACTTTAAGTCTACTCTCATGCTCCTATCCAATGTTGGGTGAGTTTCAAATGAAATATCCACTAAAGGCTTCTGTGCTCTTAAGATGAGATTTCCTAGGAATCTTTAGCAGGAGATCATAGGGAGTAGGGTAAAACTTCTTTACAGACCTACCCTTCTGGTCATTGAGAACCTGCCCATTGTCATATTATTGTCCAGCTGGGATAACCCGGCTATGGGACCAGGTTACAGCCTCTACTCCAGAGGCTGGGGTGCTTTGACTTAATATAGTGCTAGGAGGTCTGAGATGGCCTGGAATGATTTGACATTCCTGTTAGCTCCTAAGTTTCCATGGTGGCGGGATGCAAAGGAGGGTGGGTGGTGGGAGAGAAGATAGGATGGATAAAAGGAAAACCCTTTTATGAAGCTATTTATAAATCTGACCCCCCCTTTTTCCTATCAAGCAATTCTTGGGCTGCAATTGGGTCTCTGGCTCCCCAGGCCCCTGAGGGACTAAGGTGTTTCCTTCATCCTGTGGAGTGGGTGTGTTGCTGGTGACGAGCTCAGGGCAGGGTACTGGTGTGTATGTGCAAAGATTTCGTAGGTGGAGACCTTGGGGGAGACGGAGATGAGCATGAATGTTGACCCTTAGGAGAAAGGGGTAAGTGTCAAGGGGAGAAGAGTGACTGACCAGAAGAGTGACTGATAGCCTGAAAGATGTGTTGGAGTCAGGAAAGGGGGAGGCGGCCATAGCTGGGACTGATTGTGTGGATTTGTGTATAGTTGTGTGCATATGCTTGTGCACAGTATCTGTGCGTGGATTTAGAAATTACATGCATAATATGTTTCTGTCCAGGATTCTGAAATCTGAGATGTGCTAGAGAAATTCCCTGGTGAGACTGTCCGCAGGGATAGGAGGAAGAAATACTAGTTGGACTCTGGAAGCTGTGCAGGCACAAACCTGTTAGGCAGCAAGTGCTTAGGGGTTGCTGGCATCAGCTCTAGGGGAGTGCCAAATGGCTACCAAGCGGTTCCTGCCAGCCTTTCTAGACCCCGCATTACAGATGTCACCCATCGTTCTTCTCCTTCCCCCACCAAGACGTCACTCTAGCTGCACCTCTCCACCAGTAAGAGCGCCCAGGCTGTGTGGGTGGCGGCAGGGCGTGCAAACATCAGGCGTGGGCGGTTTGGCAGCGCCAGGAGTTTGCATGGAGGTGCAGCGAGAGTGCGTGCCTGGCTGGGAAGGAAGGGGAGAGGAGGAGGAGGGCGGGAGAAGGGGAGCCAGCTCTTAGCCCCAGAGCGGCTATTTTTAGCCAGGCTATCTGATTGTTACGGGTGCGCACTCAGCTGGGTGTCTCCCTGGCTCAGTGAAGCCCAGCAGGCTGAGAGGTGGGAGGTCCTTGTTGATGACTTCTTCCTGGTGGAGGTGTCTGTGGGCAGGAGCTTGCAAAGGGGTAGCTTTCTAGGTGTGAGGGCAGCTGTGCTCCGGATCTGTTACCTCTGTGTGTGACTTTGTGCTCTGTTGGTAATGTATGCTGTATAGCTAATTGTGATCTCTGTTTATGTGTCTGTCTCCCATCTGTTCTTTTCTGGTAGTTATGTGTAATTTATGCTTGGTATATATCTAATATGCCTCACATGCACATGTATGTGGGCTAAAGAGGGCGAGTGCTCAAAATATCTAATGTGAAACATCTTTAAAGTGTTGGTGTGTGCTTCGTTAGTGTATGTTTCTGTTTAGACTGTTTTTCTTCACTTGCTCACTGTGCTCTCTGTAGATGTATGTAAATTGTAACAAGTGTCACAAAATTGAAGAATAGACTTTGGCAGATGTTTCCTGCTAAGTGTATTTTAAAAAATTATTTCTACATACTTTTAAAATATGTTGTAGGGCTTTCAATAAGGAGAATAGAGGGAATAGCTCAGTTGGTTTGATCTCACTTTTAGTTCTGCGTAAAGGCAGAGACCTCTTGGCCATGTTCCACATTAAGATGTAGAATAAGCACCAGTCTGTCGTCTGGTAGATGATTGGTGGCAGATCCATTTGGGGGCTCTAGGGCCATGTGGAGGGCTGTCTCATAGAAAAGCCTACTAAGGGAATTATAGAAGAAAGCACTAGGATATCCTTAAAGCACTAGGATTCACGTATTACTTACCACCAGTAACCAGAGGTAACACTCATTTTTCTGTGTTCCTATTCCCTTTGTCCACTTCTCTGCAGAACCCAGAAGAACCATGGCTTCTGACCTAGAGAGTAGCCTCACCTCCATAGACTGGCTCCCTCAGCTGACCCTCCGAGCTACCATTGAGAAGCTTGGGAGTGCCTCCCAGGCTGGGACTCCAGGGGGCAGCCGCAAGTGTCCACCAGGCTCACCCACAGATCCCAATGCCACCCTGAGCAAAGATGAGGCAGCAGTCCACCAGGATGGCAAACCACGATATAGCTACGCCACCCTCATCACCTACGCCATCAACTCCTCTCCAGCCAAGAAGATGACCCTCAGTGAGATTTACCGCTGGATCTGTGATAACTTCCCCTATTACAAGAATGCTGGCATTGGTTGGAAGGTGGGAAGGATTCTATAACCAGGGATTATTTTCAGCCTTTGACCACTTTTTTCTCTACTTTTATTTCTGTGTGTAATCTTGTCCAGTTGACTGATCTGTCTCAGACATGTGATATATACTTCCATCAGGTACATCAGGGAGACCCCAGCAATACCCAGATTCTAAGAATAGTTACGGGGATAGCAGGGTGTTGTTGGTCATCATACCCTCTTCTGATTCCTCAAAAAGAAGATCCATTCATTTCACAAATATTTATTGCCACTCTACTATGTTCAAGTCACTATGCAAGGCATGGCATTGCCCCTTCCTACCTATGGTAGGAATCTTGTTGCATTTCCAAAGCTTCATTGCACATAGTCATCATCTTTTTAAAAATTGTATACCAAGGAAAAAAAGAATATAATTAGGTCCTTCACCAGCAGCTCATACCGAACAAGTCATAAGGATGAGTCGTTTGGCTGGAGAGAAAAAAAAAAAGAAGGGGACTCCTATTCCACGCTAAGAAGGAAGATTGATGTTCTCAGTCTTTTGGAGTAACAATTCATTTGCCAACTGCAGGACAGAATTGGGATTTAATGTCGTTCTCTCACTGTATGAATCACCAGTTGATATACAAACCAGATGATGAGCTGAAGACTGTTGAAAGTGTTCAGTTTTTTCCTTTATACATATGTCCCTGCTAGCTACCAAAACCCCCAACACATTTACGCGACAATATTTCTTTCCTTCAAATGTGTCCCTTCTATGGGCTGTTGAGAAAACAAAGGTGAACCCGTGCCTTTGTTTTACTCATAATTTATATATGTTATCATTAATATAAACAGGTTTAAAACATTTTTTTTTAACTACAGATAAAATGGTATAGAAATTGGGCAGATGTGATTTCGAGGCATTTATATACCTATTATCAGCTGGGTGGAAAGATTGAAAAAACTACATAAACAGCTTTCCAGAAGCACCTAGTAGCCAAATTTATAGCCATCGCCACTCATCAATGTAATTTCTGCATTTTTCTTAGCTCATTGCTCTTGCTAAATGATAGGTAAGCTCCTCCATTAGTAGAGTTGAGTGGTGCTGAGTTTACCCTGATACTTGAATTTTGTTTTGTGTTATGTCCTTTTGTGTCCCTTTGTGTCCTATTGGAAAATGTTCTGCTTTGCACAATGCTCAAATCTAACTTGCTTCTGTGCTTCCCCAGAATTCAATTCGGCACAACCTTTCTCTCAACAAGTGTTTCCGGAAGGTGCCCAGACCTCGGGATGACCCTGGGAAGGTGAGAAACTGCTTGCTGTAAGCACTGAAGGGAGGAACAGGAAGGAGAGAAAAGTAGTTGACAGCCCAGACTCTTGTGGTTGTTTTAATTACCCAGAAGAGGAAATCATGTTAATTAGAGAAGCAGCTTTATTTTTTCTCAATGGAAGAGCTTGGTAATCAAGCTTGTTGGGGCCCTCACTGAAAGGAGTGACTAAGGAAGATTGTGAAATCTTTTTAAAAAAATAGAAATATTTATTTTAAAGTTGACTTTGCTGCCCTGTTTTCTGTGTGTAGTACTCTTTCTAGATGTAAAAGGTGGTCTTAATAACCTCTGTAGGAACTTTTCTTTACACAAATCCTATGATTTTTATCTTTAAAAAGAAAAAGGGATAGGTCATTCTCTTCATTTGACAGATATGGACACTAAAGTCCAAGAGAATCTTGCCTCAGATCACGTGGAAGGGCAGGGTTGTACCTGGCATTTCCAGCTGTTTGAACCAGATACCATTATTCCATCTCTCCAGAACAATAGAGGTCTGTGTTTGCACCACAGGGGGTATCTTTTATATACTAGCTTTTAGGACAGATTTACTCAAAACTAACCAGTATCTTCAGGCTTCCTTGTGAATTTCCAGTCATTTTTCTTTTTTGTCCCAGTCATTTTGCTTAACTATAACTGTTATTTTATGAGAAAATCCTCCCAAATAGCTACTTTTCCAAAGGTGAGAATTTTCACTGAAGGTGATTTTGTTCTCTGTGGTACTGGTTCTCCTTCTAGGGCTCTTATTGGACTATCGACACTTGTCCTGACATCTCCCGAAAGAGAAGACACCCTCCAGATGATGATGTAAGTCCCCACCTTATGGAGAGATGTCATTTCTGAGCCAGCTGCTCCTTCCACATTCTTTCCTGAGTTTTCCTTTTGTATGTCTGGGGCAAAGGGCAAATACCAGCAGAGGTGAAACCATGGGTCTTAGGAGGAAGTTTAGCATCTGCTTATGGATTTCTATTCTTTCACAACCGACAGCTGTCCCAGGACTCACCAGAACAGGAGGCAAGCAAGAGCCCCCGGGGAGGTGTTCCAGGGAGTGGAGAAGCCTCACTGCCTCCTGAGGGGAATCCTCAGATGTCATTGCAGAGCCCCACATCTATCACCAGCTATAGCCAGGTAGGAAGGAGAGGTGGCAGGGGGCTTAGGGGCAGATAAATGGATGGATGAATGAGTTAGTGGCTGGGTGAATGGATGGATGGGTGGGTGGGTGGTTGAATACAGTCATATATTTGATGGTTCAAGATGATTTATTGAGGCCTTGGCTGGTGTGGCTCAATTAGTTGGGCGTCGTCCTTTGCACCAAAAGGTTGCCAGTTTGATTCCGGGTCACAGCACATGCCCACTTGCCCAGGTTGCAGGCTGGGTTCCCAGTAGAAGGCGTGCAAGAGGCAGCTGATCGATGTTCTGCTCTCACATTGATGTTTCTCTCTCCCCCCTCCCTTCCTCTCTCTCTAAAAATCAATAAACTATAAAAGAAATTATGTATTGAGTTTCTGTGATACAGTAGGCAGACAAATTGGTAGAGAAGGGAAAAGCAAAAGAGGGAAGCTGAGAGAGAGAGAAGGGGTGGGGGAGAAAGAATGAGAACAGAACTTTGAGAAAGATTAGGGAAGAAAAGGGATGAGAAGAAGGGGGGCACCTAGCCGGCTTGGCTCAGTGGTTGAGCATCGACCTAGGATCCAGAAGATGGCGATTCGATTCCCGGTCAGGGCACATGCCCAGGTTGTGGGCTCAATCCCCGGTGCGGGGCGTGCAGGAGGCAGCTGGTCAGTGACTCTCATCATTGATGTTTCTATCTCTCTCTCCCCCTCTCCTTTCCTCTCTCTGAAATCAATAAAGACATATTTAAAAAAAAGGGGGGTGCAAAAAAGTTTATAAGATAAATAAGCTCATGGATGTAGCATAGGGAAAGGGCAAGAGGCTGCATCAAAGTGTGGATGTGTGCTCAATATCTGCAAAGTTGGTAGAGGACAGAGACAGGCAGGGAAGCTGGGGGGCCGTTAAAGGGCGGCATGGTCCCCCATTTGGGGCGTGGATCAAGTCTTCCTTACCTCTGTTTGCAGGGCACAGGATCTGTGGATGGTGGAGCAGTGGCTGCAGGGGCTCCAGGCCGAGAGAGTGCTGAAGGTCCCCCTCCCTTGTATAACACCAACCACGACTTCAAATTCTCCTACTCAGAGATCAATTTTCAGGATCTGAGCTGGTCCTTCCGCAACCTCTACAAATCCATGCTGGAGAAGTCCTCTTCCTCCTCTCAGCATGGTGAGTCCGGAGTTGGGATGGGGGCATGGTTGTCCTTATGTTTTTGAACAGGTGGTGACATTCTCTTTTCTCCTTTCTTATTTTTAACACAAGAAGAGGTTGATCACTGGTCAGGCGGAACATCTCATGAGTCAATACTGTTTGGAGTTGAGCTCTTCTGGCTTAGTTTTGAAGGACAAGTGTTTCAATATGTGGTCTGGGTTATTAGCTTCAGAAAGTGAGCTGGAAGGGTCCCCCTTCTAGAACGAAGGGCAGTGATTTTATTGCTGCAAGCAGGTCATTTAGAGAATGACCACTAGGGGACAGCAGTTCTCTTTCTTTAAGGGTCAGTAACAACCCCCCCAAAAGAGTCAGTCCCTGCCTTTCTTTGTGAGAATAATTTAATTTTTTAGCATACTTATTTATTTATTTATTTATTTATTTATTTATTTAAAAAAATATGTCTTTATTGGTTTCAGAGAGAGGACGGGAGAGGGAGAGAGAGACAGAAACATCAATGATAAGAGGTTCATTGATCAGCTGCCTCCTGCACACTCCCTACTGGGGATCAAGACCAAAACCTGGGCATTGTGCCTTGACCAGGAATTGAACCTTGATCTCCTGGATCCTAGGTTGATACTCAACTGCTGAGCCACACTGGCAGGGCAACGTAGTTATTTTTATTAGTAAAAATTTCAAACAGATGCAAAAGTAGAGAAAATGGTATTATAAACCCTCATGTTTCTATCTCCCAACCTAAACAGTTACCAATATTTTGTTAGGTTTGTTTCATTTACCACTCAGCTTTTTTTTTTTCTTTCCCATCACCACTTATCCCCCCCACCCCCATTCCCTCTTCCACCTTTACCCACCCTTTTTTTTTATTGGAGTATTTTCATGCAATTCCCAGATATGTCATCTACCTGTATATTATTTCAACATGCATCTTTAGCAAAAAACATTTTTTTGGTTATTTATTTCTATCACCATTCCTAACACAACTTGGTATCAGTTTATATCTTGTCCATACTCAATTTCCTAAATGGTCAATTGAGAATGATTTAAAGTCCTTATTGGGAGGCTCCTTGAGAGAGGATCTGGTTCAGTCCCCTGCAATTTCTTTTTGTTTTGTTTTGTTTTGTTTTTAGAGAAATTAAATGTGGGTATAAAGTCAAGACTTTAGGTGAGCGGGTGGGTGGAGGTGGAAGAAGGTAATGGGGGATAAGTGGTGATGGAAAAATAAATAAATAAAATGTAAAAAAAACCCACAAACTTTGGGGTGAGTCATCAGATTTGCTTGTTCTATACCGTGGCCCTGTATAGACGGCAGGAGACGAATGGAAAGATTAAAAGTAGTTAGGACTCACTCTTTGGAAAATTTATATTGTCATGAATTTCTTTTTTTATATCCCAGGGGATTCATATCTAGAGTGGTGTTTCATGAGAAATGAGTCCAACTCTGGTGATTGGTTGATTGGAAGGGACGGACATGGAGGAGCTCTCAGAGACAAAGGAAAAAATTAGATTGCTGAGGATAGCAAAGTGGTCACTGAAGTCTAATGGTGGCTGAAAGCCCCTAGCCTCAATCTCTAGTTCTTTTCTGCCCAATCTGTATGAGAAATTCATCCATTCCTTATGCATTCCTCACTGAAGCTCCATTTGTTGGTAGTGAATACAATAGAAGGGTGTTGAGACAATGAGGCAGAGGAGAGAATAGATGCCAAATGGCTTTGTTTTATTTATGACTTGCCCTTTGCTTTTTAAACTTTACCTGATGACTGGTGTCTTTTGAAACTGTGATTACAGGCCTACACCCAGATCCCTGTGCAATAGCATAGAAAAGTACATGCTGACCTTTGGAAAAAGTTTCAGTGGTCACCACACTGTTAAGGCCCTCCCTCTATCTGTTTTACCTATTGGGGGGCCAATGGGATCCCTGCTGTCCCAGGACACCCTTACCTTTGAAGTCTGTGGTTTCTGTCTGAGGCCAACCACCTCACCCCACTGGAAATTCTGCTGAGTGAAAAATGCATTGCCCAAGTGACTTTCCTCCCATACTGCAGGCTTTTCGTCTCTCCTGGGGGACATGCCGCCCTCTAACAACTACTACATGTACCAGCAACAGCCACCGCCACCTCAACAGCAGCAACAGCAGCAGCCACCACAGCCACAGCCCCAACAAGCACAGCCACAGCAACAGCAGGCACCAGCCCAGGGCCCCTCAACTGTAGGGGGTCCTCCTCCACTGCACACCCCAAGCCCAGATGGTTGTACCCCACCAGGGGGGAAGCAGGCTGGGGCGGAAGGCTATGGGCCTCCCTCTGTGATGGCCATGCATCCGCCCCCACTGCAGCATGGAGGTTACCACCCTCATCAGCACCATCCCCACTCCCACCCTGCCCAGCAGCCTCCGCCACCACAGCCACAGGCACAAGGCCAGGCTCCTATCAACAGTACTGGTTTTGGTGAGTAAGAAGAATGCAGGGAGATGCTAGAGGAGAGTGAATGACCTCCTTATTCTGACTCTGGCATGGAGAGGAAGTAAATACCAAGTCTAGCCTCTCCTCCATGAGAGCCGATCTGAGCTAACAGAAGTTGCCGCTTCAAGCTCTGTTATAGAAATTGTGGATAAATTGGGATTGTTTTGCATACTCCTGCCTGTGACCTGGGTTGTCAATACCTCAAGTATAGATAGCTTTACTCGTCCTAAATCTCTAGGGAGGGAGATTCTAAAACTATCTTGGTAATATAATCGATAACCTGTGTAGATGTAAGAATATTACATGTAGTTAGTCTGCTATGAGTTGGCTTTCATCTTACACTTGACTCTCTCTTATGCCCCACGTTGCCCTCCTCTTTACAGCCTTTCCTCCTGACTGGTGCTCCAATATCGACTCCTTAAAGGAAAGCTTTAAGATGGTGAATCGGCTCAATTGGTCCAGCATTGAGCAGTCACAGTTCTCAGGTTAGTGATGACTAGAGAGAGGAGGGATCCATTGTAAGTGGACAAACCCAATAGAAACCAGAGCCAGAAGGGAATGGTTAGCTGAAGTTTGAGGATTGAGGATTTCATTATTTTCCCTCCATATTTCACAAGGTAGATGATATTAATATGAATTGCAAATTAAGTTTCATATATTAAGCCTTATCAAACCATGACAGTGATTTATCCTAGTCAGTTCTGTCTGTGGGAGAGGGAAGGCTCTTAGGAATTCAGAAACCCTGGACAAGGAGTTTGTATTTTTGTCACCATTTGCTGACAGTGTGACCATGGCTAATTTCCTCAGCTACTTTGAAATTTCATTTTATTCACCAGTAAAATCGAAATTATAATACGAATTTAGTGACAAACGAGTACAGGGTTTGAAAATGGAGAGCTCTAACGGATGCCAGTAATAATGGGTAATGCGTTTAATTGGTAGTGCTGATTTATGATATGGTTGGAACAGTGAGATGGGACAGATCTGGGGCCTCTGCAAGATTAGTGTGTTTCTTGCTTCTCTGTAGAACTGATGGAGAGTCTACGGCAGGCAGAACAGAAGAACTGGAGCCTGGACCAGCATCACATTGCCAATCTGTGTGACTCCCTCAACCACTTCCTTACTCAGACTGGTCACATGCCCCCCCAAGGGGGCTCCCACCGGCCACCAGCCCCTGCCCGTATTGCTGACTCCTGTGCCCTCACCAGTGGCAAACAAGAGCCAGCCCTGAACCAAGGTACGAACAAAGCAAGTGGCCAAGGAGGTGGGGACTCTGAGGAAAAGGGAGGGGGAGGAGAAGGGCAGGAGAGAATGGAGAGAAATCATCTAATGGGTAGTGATGCAAAGTGAGCAGCAGGCCCGGCCGGGCGTGGCTCAGCGGTTGAGCGTCGACCTAGGATCCGGTCGCGGGCACATGCCCGGGTTGCGGGCTCAATCAGTGACTCTCTCATCATTGATGTTTCTATCTCTCTCCCTCCCTCGCCTTTCCTCTCTCTGAAATCAATAAAGATATATATTTTTTAAAAAAACAAAAAGCTAACTGAGCAGCGGGACAAGTTTGTTCACCACATTGAATGAGCTTTTATCTGTAAAGTCCAGTACTGAAGATTGCCAAAGAAATAGACCATGTGATTTGTGGGTGTGGAAATTGAGATTACATAAGAAAAGGGAGGAGAATGTCTCCATTCCAAATTGTGTCTCAGTAACCCATACCTGAATCGTATCAGGTGAAGTTTTGATTCTCTGCCATTGTATGAGCATCAAACCAGTGCCATGAGATTCAGTGATCCTGTTTCTATAGTTGTTATCCTTCTAATAGCTATGTTCTTCCACAGTTCTAGTATCTGGGCCCTGTTTACCCTGAGTGGTTAGGACTGATAGCTTCAGCAGAAGGCCTTCATTCCCCTGGAGGCCACAGAACAAAGCAGGGAAGGGAGAAGAAGTGAAGGGGAGGAAGAAGACTGCTTTTCCCCTCTCTATTGGACCCAACTTCACTGAGTAGAATGATCCCACTCAAGTAACTCTCTTCTTGTTTGGCAGTGAATTCTTATGGGCACCCACAAGCCCCCCACCTCTACCCTGGCCCATCACCAATGTACCCAATCCCCACCCAGGACTCAGCAGGATACAACCGCCCAGGTAAGAGCCAGGAAGCTTGTTTCACCACCAACCAAGCACTTATTTCCCTGACCAGGTGTTTCACTTTCTTCTCTCTCTGGGCCTGCATTCCCTGCACCTCCTGACAGGAATGAACCTTCATGATTCTAAAGGCCAGAGTGTGGGCCACCTGCTAGTGAGGTGTATGTCATAGGAGACTAAAGAAGACAGATTTACTTTAAAATTATCTGGTACCTTTGATAATGAAAGGCAGTAAAAGCATGAATGTATACAGAAGATAGGTAGAACACTTAAGTCTAGCATTAGAAGCTGGATAAGAGATATATTCAGGCAAATAAAATGAACATGGTATGTAAACATAAAACATAGCTGCTCTGTCTCCATGTCTGTTTTCCTGTCGCCTGACCTCTAGTATCAGGGGTCTGGGATTGAACTATCTCCAATGGTAGGAGTGCCAGGAGAGACCCAAAATTACCATAAATAGTACAAATTGAGCTATTTTACCTTTAAATCCATTTTAGAAAAATTACTAATATCCTTCCAAAGCCCAAGTGTTTTCAGTTTTGGGGGTGATACTGGAATCTTTATCCATGTATCCCTTATTCATATAATACATATGCAAATTTCTGAACTGTGATTTCAAATAATTGTACATCTGCCTGTTGTTTGTCATTATTACATGGTCTTCATAAGTATAAGTGTAATGGCTGCAAACTATTATATTGGCGTGGAAGCTGGTCTACTCTAGTTTATTTCCTGGCGCCTCGTTGAAGTAGTGGCCGGCAACAAAGTTAACTCAGGGCTGTTAAGAACAATAGCTTCACCAGATGCTCCTCATGGCATTTTGGGGGCTGAGCACTGCCCATCTAACTGATAGAGTAGTTTCCCATCTACTTTTCTTTTAATCTCTTTCTCTCTTCCTGACAGCACACCATATGGTCCCTCGGCCACCGGTTCCACCTCCTGGTGCCAATGAGGAGATCCCTGATGACTTCGACTGGGACTTAATCACTTAGTGCATCACGGAGTGTGACTGTCAGCCCAGGGCTGGGTGGTGAAGCCTGGCAGTGGGGAAAGAGAAGCCCCAGCCCATCCCTTCTCCCCTTGCCTGTATATAGATATATATCCTCTTGTTTTGTTCTTTCTCTGTCAGAGAAGCCACCGCAAGATGCTGCCGAAGATAACCCCTCTTTCCTGCCTCATTCTTCCTCTTTCTTCTTGTTTTTCCCCTTAATTCTTTTATTATTCTTCTTATTATGTTATTATTATGATTATTGGTTATATGTGGTCCCCTGTCTCCTGTCCCTATACCATCAACCATGTGCACCCCTTACTAATTTAAAATCATCTGGCTGGAAGGTGAGGCTGTGATAGCTACAGAGAAAGGTTTCAAACTTGGGTTTACCTTTCTCTCTTTCTTTTTTTTTTTTGGATTTACCTTTCTCTCTGAGATATTCAATGCTAATCACACCTTTCAGCCTTAAATTGTTTTCTGTTCTTATCAATTCAGTCCAGGACTGGGGAGGCCACATTATCAAGTAGAAGGATCTCAAACACTGCTTGGCAGGTGTGACTTTGCAGGTTTTACTCAATGGTGCTAATTTTGTCCTCTGAGCTCTTCCCTGTCCCTTCATATTTCCAGTCCTTACTTCTGGCGATACTCATTCCCCATCAAGGGTAGGAGTGATGGTGGTGGTGCCGGAAGGTGACGGCAGAACCCTAGTGGAATGAGGCCCGGGTCGGGTGGAGTAGAATACTGCAGCGGGGTGATGGAGTGTAAGACACTCAGTAACTGGTATATAATACTGTGTCAAATCAACGTCCATCGGCTCGTTCCTAGGCCATTCTCTAAGGGAGATGGGGCAGGTCAAGCCTGAGCTTTGCAGCTGTGGGAGGGATGAAGACAACTATTCAGCATAGGGTCAGCTTTTTGGAGGTGTTTTCAGTTAAACCATTTTGGCTTTTTAAACGTAATTTTCTCTGAAAATTAACTGTGGCTCTTTTCTGCAATTACAGACTATTCTTCAATCCCTTTCCCATTCAGCAAATATTATGCTGTCCTCCTTTGGTTGTTTGCTCAACTCTTCTACTCACTTCCCTCATTTCCTCTCATTTTCTGGCCTTCTCACAGTATGAAAGTAACCCACTATCACTCTTAGTTTCATCATGTCCTAGGACGGGATGGGATCATGTCCCACCGATCATAGCAGAACCAACCCAAATTGGTGGTAGGAGGGTGGGGAAGTGAAAATGGAGCTGGCATAGGCATAGGAAGGAATATTTCAGTTATTTAACTATGTAGGAAAATGCTTTGTGTTGGATTCCAGACCATTGGGGATGAAACGTTTGCAGTAGTCTTTTGAGGGGGTGAAGGAATTTGGTAGTGCGGAGTAAATAATCCAGAGGGAAGTGTTCCATGAGGGAGACCCCCAGAAAAAGATATAGGGATAACTTATCTCCTTTAACAAGGAGTGGCCATGATTTATTGCTGCAGAGTATTTAGTGTATATTTAATGTTAATTGTTGAATTTTAGTTGTGGGTGGGAAGAACAGTTTTACTTTTATTTCTCTGAATGTTTAGTTCCTGAAAGCTACAGGACAAAGTGTATGGAATGGACAGGGCCACTCTCTCTGATTTCTGCTTTTTGTTCATATTCTTTAATTTACTGATGATTTCCAAGAAATTTAACTTTTCACTCTCCTGCTTTTCCCCCTCTTCCACCCCTTCCTTTCTTTGTAAGGGGGTTATATATGAGAGTTTGTTGAAGATGTCCAGTGAGGCTGACGTAAAGGGGCAGGAAAGGGCAGTTGACTAAAGAGCACTTTATTTCTTTGAAGTTCTTTGTAAGAGGTGGGGGTGGGAGTGGCTTGAATCCCCCCACTGTGTTGGAGGGCAGTTAGTGGGGTTGAAGTATGACACAATATTTCCTACTGGGGAAAGGAGAATTTCCCTTAGAGGGTGGCACAATGCCTTTGCCATGTTCCTATTTTGGGCATCTCTTCCTTTTCCTTCCAATCAAGGTGCCTCCTTCATACAACTTCCCATCTGTTCTCCCTAAGATATCCCCTTTACATATTATCACTCCTCTTTTGTAAACCCCTTTTCTACTCAGATCCAGACAGGGTTTGCAAGGGTAGACTAAATCATACATGTTAATGTCCCTTGTTTATAATTCATCTGTGTCTTAAAGAAAACTAGTCTCATTAAGAACTCTGGTGGGCTGCCAGACTAACTGAAGTTTGGGGCTAGGGCTGGAGATTGTCCATCAAGGCCTCCTTGGACTTAAGGTCCTCTCCACTAAACTCAGCCTTGCTCAGTGGCACAGGACAAATCTGACCCTCTTTGGGCCTTAGTTCCCCATTCCCCACCCTGAAATGGAAGAATACTACTTTTTCTTGTTGGTTCAGCACTGCTGGACTGGAAGTATAGTCGTTGTTGTATTGGGTGATGTGTGCAAAACTGCAGGAGCTCACTGCCTGCTAGAGGAAACAAGGGGGAAAGTGGAGCAGAGGGACAGAAGGAGCAATTACTTGGTGTAGATCCACCCATCCCTGCCTTCCTCTCTTCAACCCCTATGTTTCTGGTTTGGTGAGTCCTTCCTACCACTCATAATGCTTTGCATTGGTGCAGGCTGGGAAGGGGGGGTATGGTCTCACAATTGTTGTTGTTGTTTTTTTGCATGCTTTCTTAATAAAAACAAAGAAGAATGTTTATGGTTTTATCTTATTGGTGCTGGTCTCAAGTTTCTTTTATGCCAGAGTAGGAAGGGAGAAATGTGAAGCATTTTTCTTAATTGGTCTTTCGCCCCTCCCTCACCTCATACCATAGGGTTTGATTAGTTGACTGTTTTGGGGGGAAGATTGATGAGAGAAAAGAATGTAAAGCATGCCTTAACATTCCCTTTTTCAAATGCTATTAAAAATAGTGAAATATTCTTGGGAGGGACAGTCACCCTTTGCAACTTGGTGTGTGGTCAAGGCCACCTTGCTTTCATTCTAGGATATTTTAAAGATTAAAGATACTACAGTTTGGGGAGGAACTGGGCCATAATTGCAGGTACTCCCCAGAGTTTTGCATCAGCAATGAGGGAATTCCAATTGTAGGAATATTTGAGATTACATTTCCAAGGTAAATTGTACTCTAGAAGGAGTCCAGCAATGCCAACTATTGAATCTTTGTAAGTATGCTGAGTTTATTCATCCTAATACCCTGTACACTAATCAAGGAGCTTGGGACTTAAACACAGGGTCTTGTGAGATGTGTTGGGATTTCCAGAAGCCTAGCCAATTGCTATTACAGCAAGTCTACAGCTACTCACAATAAGATTTATTTACTGCATATCTAGAAATTATGATATATTCTGAGTATCACACAATTAAAAGAATGCATGAATCTCTGAGCCTTGTAAGGAATCACAAGAAAGAAAGCATTTATTCCCATCAAATATATAAGCAGAGTAAAATAAAAGGTAACATTGTGAATGCACATCATATCAGACATCTCACAAGTGAAAGAATTCCTAGTTATTTGAAATTTTCTGTATAACACTTTTTAACAAATTTGTAGTTCAGACCATCACCTCAACCACTGCAAGCCTAAAACTTTTCATTTTCTATCTTTAGATTAAATAATTGTATTCATCTTAGATGAAACTATGTTGAAGTAGTAACAAACCTGACATTTTAGAGGTTTAACACATATAGACCAGTATACAGAGAAAATGAGGTGATAGGGAATTGAACAATGCTTTTATAAAGTGAAAGAAGGATAGAATGAAAGCCATATATACGACTGGAATGGGGAAAGTGGAAGAAAATGTGTGGTCATGAATGAATTAAAGTATGGTTAATGAATATTGGGACTCTGGATAACCAAAAAAATATGAATATGCTTGGATAAAATTCTTCATCTCACAAAATCAGAAGTCATTTTATCATTGTCTACAAAAGTAATCAGCATAAGTGCATGACTGAGAAATATCATGGCAAATATCAGAAGAAACATCTAAAATTGTTCAAGGGTTATCTCAGAAATGGGAGTGGGAGGAGGGAGTTGGCCAGAGTGTGGCAGAAATTTCTCATATTTCATTATAAATCTTGAATCTCTTTAAACTATGTGTATGTATTACTTTGATAAAGTTGAATTTAAAAACCTAAAAATACATCTAGTAATTATAACATGAAAGATACACAACTATAGTCATGTTTTAATAAGTTTGATGGTATTCCTGGAGGGTACGCAGTCATTTTTCAGTGATTTTAAACTTTTGAAATTAGAGGTTAGTAGAGGTACAAAGTCTAATGTGGAAGAAGACTTAGAGGCGGAAGAGGAATAAGGGAATTATGGAATTTAAGACAAGGAGCAGAAGGTAGGTGGCTCTATCAATAGGCAGATAGAGAAAACAAAAAGACAAGAGAACTCTTCAAAGGGCAGCTTACATTACAGATTGTAAGTAGTTAGATGCCTTAATAGCCTATGTTTACACAAGAGATGCTTATTTAGTTGCAATAATGGAAACTTGGAATTGTGTCTTGTATCCATGAGTATTCCAAATAGGAAGTGTCTGGCATTGTATTCTTTGCCAGGCTCAGTCTCATAAATCCTTGCTTTCAAAGACGGTTTCTTTTTTAAAAATTTTATTTCATTAAATTTATTGGGGTGACATTGGTTAATAAGGTCATACAGTTTTCAAGTGTACATTTCTATGATACATGATCTGTAAATTGCATTGTGTGCCCACCACCCAAACCCAAATCATCTTCTGTCACCATATTTGGCCCCTTTACCCATTACTACCTCCCCCCACCCGCACCTTCTCTTTATTTAAAACCATCCTCACCACCACCAATGGTACAACAATAAAGCCAAAGAATAAATGATCATCTCTCACTCAGAGCCAGAAGAATTGGTATTAAAATGAATCTGGAAGGGAACTTAGGTATACTAAATAGAAAATTTAAGAATGGAAAGAAACATTATTTTACAAAAAACTAGATTCTCATTTATCTAAGGTGGCTTAGTTTGAGATAGAAATAGACTAATTTGTGCACTCTCTCTCAAATATAACATTCATCAGAAACAAGAGAGCTTGTTTTCAAGTCTGGTTGGACTGGACAGTTTCCAAGTGATGCTGATGTCACTAGCCTGGGACCATACTTTGAAGCCCTCTAGATCGAGTCTTTGATATTTTCTGAAATCCCTGCTCACCATGTCCCTTGTTCTTTTAGAAACATGTCACACTTGGCGAATAGCTAAGAAGCTCCGCTTGGCTCAAGCGTTTGGGTCAAATGCTCTATATTCTCACACAGCTCTACTGCTACTGCTTCTTTCCGAAAGCCTTTGCTTTGGGTACAACTGGTAGAATGTGTGTGCTCCTCACTGAAAGCTGCCTCCAGAATGCCCTGCATGGACCGCCTTGCTTTCTTCCTAAAATCTTTCCCCATGAGGGCATAGAGGAAGGGATTGAAGCAACTATTGGCAGATGCTAGAGCAATGGACACATGATCCCAGGATAGCAGAGTTGCCCCAAAGGGAGTGTTTGTGTCAATAAACAAAAAGAGGACTCCAAAAATGTGGTATGGGGCCCAGCAGACAAGGAAGACAACTACCACCACTATGGTCACTTGGAAGGTTTTGCCCCGAGATTTGGTGAAGCGGCTCCGTCTCATTCGGAAGATAATGAGGCTATAACAGGTCATCATGATAACAACGGGCAGCAGGAAACCCATCACTAGCCTAGTGATGGTTATTATCACCAGAGGTGTTGGAACTTGATTGTCAAATTCAAAGAAGCCTTCAGCATAGTCCTGGAAATCTTGTGATGGCTCAGTCATGTATAAGGCGTTGCTAGAGGCACTAGAGGAACGCTCTAAATCAGTAAAGAGGAAAGCATCAGAGTCATCCGGTGGGTTAAATCTGTGATCTTCAATGGGAATGTCAATGGGGATTGTAGGTGAGGCCTCATCATCAGGTCTAAGGAAATTATAATATGGCTGTTGATTAGATAATCTAATTGAATCCACAGGGAGGGAATCTCCAGGAGGTCTTTGAAATGTTTCAGAATGGAGGAGATTGGTAGCTGTCCAAGGATGATCATTTGTTTGTAAAGAGAAGGCATCTACCCTGTCATCCATTTCTCTAGGCAACTGAACAATGGGGCTGTCAAGAGACTCATTTTCCAGTCGATCAAAGAGGAAGTCTGAAAAATCTAATGAGCTATCGACACCATAATAGTAGCGACAGGTATTATAGTCTGCTACAGTGAACACTTTCCGGTACATGAACACAGGCGTACACATTACAAAAGCCACCACCCAGATACATCCACAGACAGCGGAGGCTGTCCTCACACTGCGGCGATTCTGGCACCAGATGGGCTTGAGTACCAAAAGACAACGGTCCAGGCTAATGGCAGTCAGCAGGAAGACGCTGGCAAACATGTTGAGGATGATGATAGCGGGAAGGAGCTTGCAGAGGAGCCAACCATAGGGCCAGTGTCCTCCGAGAGCCAAGTGGACCAGGGAGAAGGGTAAGGAGAGGCAGCAGAGAAAGTCTGCCAGCGTGAGATGGAGAAACCAAACTGTGTTCACTGTCCTCTTCATCTTTAGGCCAGCCACCCACAGCACCAGCCCATTGCCTGGCAATCCCAATAAGAAAGTAAGGCTGAGAATGACCATGGACAGGATTATTTGGGGTTCATTCCAGGGCTGTGAGTGTGTGTCAGTTGAATTGGTCTCATCAGGGAAAGACTCCATTGCTAAACTTCTGCAAAAAGAAGAACAAACATTTTTTAAAGTAACATTATCTTGCCAGGCTGGGCATGGATCAGCAGTTGAGTAACGACCTAGGATCCAGGAGATCGCAGTTCGATTCCCAGTCAGGGCACAGGCCCGGGTTGCGGGCTCGATCCCCAGTCAAGGGCATTTAGGGGGGCAGCCGATCAATGATGACTCTCATCATTGATGTTTCTCTTTCTCTCTCTCCCTCTCCCTTCCTCTCTCTGAAGTCAATAAAGATATATTTAAAGTAACATTATCTTTCTAAAAAATGCGTGTCTTAGACATCTAACCTTCCCACATAACGATGTAGAACTGCACAGGCCCTCACACTGTTTTAGTTTGTACTCCTTGACTTCTTATTGAATCACACAAAACATTCTGTGATAGACCAAAACCTACTGTACCAATTTAAGTGTGTATCAAAATAATATCCTCATTTGGAAACTTACATCATTGTCATTTCCTCCCTTTTCTTGCACTTTTGATTTCTCATTCTCTACTAATTTCTTTCCTTACCTAATATTCCCTATTAAAAACAAACAAATGAGTCTAATGGACAAACACACAACTTTTATACCAGGAATTCCCAACTCTAAATCCATGAAAGGGCTTTGAGAAGCTCCATCACCACCTCAAATCATATGGAAAATTTTAACTTTATTTTCATTTCCTTGAGGGTGGAAGGTCCATCCATTCCCTGTACCAGATTTTCAAAGGACTCACCACCACAGAAAAAGGTCCTAGACTCAATTATGTCTTTTAGATACAACCTCAGCTTTTCCTTTTGCTGTTTGGTTTTTCAAGAGCTGTGTACACTGTTGGCATTGATTTTTCTCACCACCCATCATTTCTTTCTTGTTTATTTGTTGTTTATTGAATATAACAGAAACAATAGCTTTATTATTACAGAAGCAGAAAATATGCACGAAAAAATTTGGAAAATACAGACAACTAGGAATAAGAATATTAAAATGTCGTATTTTACCAGCCATTGATTACTACTTTAGCACCTTAATTTACATTCTTTGCATCTTTTCTATGTTATATATGTGTGTGTGTATATACGCACTTATATATATATGTGTGTGTATATTTTTGTTATGCAGAATTTAACAAAATTAGATCAAATGTGCATATTGGTCCTTAAATTGTTTTTCCTTATGTTATACGTATTTTACCACAATTAAAGAGAATTCTAGTCAAACAAGAGCAGAGGGTGCACTGGTGTGACATAGAAAGATAACCAGTGTGCTTTGCAGAAGGGTGAACATGGAACCCCATTTCTGTAAAAAGAAAACTAACTATACGCTTAACCATGTGAGTGTGTGCGAGCATGTGCGTGTATGCATGTGTGGACATGTGTAGGCACAGAAAAATCTCTAGAAAGCTACATGCCCGCTAACAGTGGTTTCCCTGGGTTAAAAATTTTTAATTGTAGCAAAATACGTGTAACATAAAATTTGCCATCTTAACCATTTTTAAGTGAATAGTTCAGTAGTGATAAATATATTCACACTGCCCAGCCGGGCATGGCTCAGTGGTTGAGCATCGACCTAGGGTCCAGGTGATCGTGCCCAGTTTGATTCCCGGTCAGGGCACATGCCCAGGTCGCAGGCTCCATCCCTAGTCGGGGGCGTGCAGGAAGCAGCAGATCAATGACGACTCTCATCATTGATGTTTCTATTTCTCTCTCTCACTCTCCCTTTCTCTCGCTGAAATCAATAAAGATATATTTTTTAAAAATTTGTTTTTAAAAAAATATATATATATGCACTCACATTATTGTGCAAAATCCAGGACTTTTTCACGTTGCAAAACTGAAACTCTATACCTATTCAACAACTCCCGCCCAGCCGGGTGTGGCTCAGCGGTTGAGCATCGACCTAGGATCCAGGCGATCAGGGTTCGATTCCCGGTCAGGGCACATGCCCGGGTTGTGGGCTTGATCCCCAGTCAGGGGGCCTGCAGGAGGCAGCTGATCAGTGACTCTCTCATCATTGATGTTTCTATCTCTCTCTCTCCCTCTCCTTTCCTCTCTCTGAAATCAATAATAATAATAAAAAGATTAAAAACCCAAAAACTCCTTTCCCCCTACTTCCTTCCCCTCCAACCTCTGGCAATCTCCATCCTATTTTCTGTTTCTATGCAATTGACTCTGGTACAGGTGAATCATACAGCATTCATCTTTTTGTGTGTCTAGCTTATTTCACTTAGTATAATATGAAATAAGCTAGATTCGTCCATGTTGTAGCATGTGTCAAAATTTCCTTCATTACTAAGGCTGAATAATATTTCATTGTATGTACAGGCCACGTTTTGTTTATCCATTCACCTGCCAGTGGACATTTGAGTGGCTTTCACCTTTTAGCTGCTGTGAATAACACTGCTATGAATGTGAGTGTAAATGCATATTGCTTTATAAACTGCTTTCTCTTTTTCAGTTGTCAGTCTCCACATTATACAATATGCTTGTTCCCTAAGGCATAGTCGATCTCGATCTTTATTCAGTTCTTCCAACTGTTCCCCAAATACCTTTTATAGCATATTTGCCCACAATTACATCCAATCTAGGATCACACTTGCCTCTGGAGGTTGTTTCTTAAGTGTCTTAATGTAGCCTAGTTTCTCTTTTTCAAAGATACTGGCTTGTTTGGGGGTCTGTCGCCCTTACCACTCACTTCTCAACCCTGTGTAATTTGCCTTCTGCCCCTGTCACTTCACTAAAATTACCTCTAAATAAAAAACCCAAGCATCTTTTCTCTGTCTCAGTCCTTCAGAACAGACTAGGAGTCATTTGATACATTAACCCCTTAACGCTCTCTTCCCTTGGCCCCGTGACATTACTCTCCCCTAGTTCTGCACATTCCTAAAATGTACCCTACTTTATAGTTCTCCTGAACAGCTCACTATTCCAAGTTAATGCTATTTTCTGTACTTTGGGTTGTGCAGTTTACTGCTATCTGCAGTTATGTCCTTCACCTAACCTCCCTTTCCTCCATCTTTAATCTCTACCTGTTGAAATCCTAGCTATTCTTCAAGATCAGTTCAAATATTATATTTTCCTTGAAACTTACTCTGATAACCTCAGTCAGAAATTAGTTCTTCAGCCTCTTAAATTTTTGTGTGTGTGACGTTTGAACCTCTTTTCACATGAGCGTTGTTCCTAAAAGCTTGTTCCACAGAATAAGCACAAAGCCTTATATGACATAAAGATGAAATATCACTTGAATGGATAGATGTTCATTTGGAGGGTTTACTTTTTTCTTTTTTAACTAAGTTTAAAATTCTTATTTTTATCTGTTTAATCCAGTAAAAATGCTCTCTTCTTACTTCCTCTTTGTTTTCCAGTTCCCAGTTCTTAGTGGCTATAACAGCATTTTACGTCTCCCTCTATAGAGGCCCAATATACTTTTGTGACTAGGAAATAGTTCTGCTGAGTTAACCAAATGTTGTATTAGGGCTTTAAATAATTAGCAGAAGTTAAAATAACTGAGTCAACAAAATAATAACTTCAAAAAAGTTATTCTCATTTCCTTTCCTATATTCAAATATTCAAGTCCTGCCAGTGTCCTTTCCTTCCTTGTTGTGCATGGCAGCGACCCTGATCCCCTTCCTACTCCAACACACGTATTCATGGTTAGATACATAAAATACTGAGAGAAAGATAGAGTCACAGAAAATAAACTTAGCAATCATCTCTCATCTCTATTTTTATTGTGCAGTTTGTGACACTGATACTCAGCAAATTAGTTGACTTTTACATACGCAACTAGGAGGGTTCGCAGATCCTAAGTCGAATGGCTCTCAAACTGATACTCTTTTTTTTTTTTTTTTTAACATTTAGTACATAATTTTATTTTATTTTATTTTATTTTATATATTTTTAAAATATATCTTTATTGATTTCAGAGAGAGGAAAGGAGAGGGAGAGAGAGAGATAGAAACATCAATGATGAGAGAGTCATTGATCGAGCCCACAACCTGGGCATGTGCCCTGACCGGGAATCGAACCCTGATCGCCTGGATCCCAGGTCGACGCTCAACCACTGAGCCACTCCTGGCTGGGCTTATTTTATTTTTTAAATTTATCTCTATTGTTGAAAGTATTACAGATGTCCCCTTCCTCCTGCTATTGATCCCCTCCACCTGGCATCCACCACCACCCGCCACACCCAGGCCTTCTCCACACTATTGTCTGTGTCCATAGGTCATGTATATATGCATCTAAGTTCTTTGATTAATCTCTCCCCTTACACTCCCCACCCCCCACTTTCCCTCTGAAAATTTGTCTCACTTCAATGAACAAAAGAAACTGATAAACAAGATAGATACAGAGATATAGAACCAAATTTCACCTTTTTATAAGGATACCTGCCATATTGGTGTCCAATTATATTAAGATAAGCTCATTTTAACTTGATTACCTCTGTAAAGACTTTCTCCAAAGACAGTCACATTTTGAGGTACTGGGGCTTAAGTCTTCAACATAAGAATTTGAGGAGGGGATATAATTTAGCCATAATAAAAATCCACATAATGTAGTTTTCCTGAAAAACAGATTAAACGCTAATTCCACAGTCTGCCTCTGGGATAAGCTCTTAGTATAAAACTGCTTGTGATTTTCTAAGAGACAAAAATAGAGTTGTTTAACACAGGGATTTAAGAAAAACAACTCCTTTATACGTGTGCCTAGACCTACATTGTAGTAAGTAAGGTTGACTTCACCTGTATGTTAATTAACAAGTACCTCTGTTGCTCAGCCGGCATGGCTCAGCCACTGAGCATCGACCTGGGATCCAGGAGACCGAGGTTCAATTCCCAGGCAGGGCACATGCNCTATTTTAAATACCATATATTATCTGTCTTGAAATGAAAGTTTATATAAATCAGAGTTTTAAAGTCTTTCAGAACAAGATCACTTTTGTATGATTTTCCAAGTGTTTTCACTAAAAAATACCCCTACATTTAAGGTAGATAATTTTTTATTTTATTTTTAATATTGAATTGACTGACAGTAACTAAAAAGATAAGTAAAATTTGAAACTAAAATTCAACTATGATAGGAAAAGTAGATTCCAGAATCAGATACTAATAACAGGATGACAAGGAGCAAGGAGTAAGTAAAAGGCTGAATAAACAGTGCATGGGCTTTTTTTGAAGATGGTGCTGAAAGCGAAGAAGGAAGACCCTGCCCCTCCCAAAGCGGAACAGAAGCCAAAGCAAAGGCTTTGAAGGCCAAGAAAGCAGTGCTGAAAGGGGTCCACAGCCAGAAAAAGAAGACCCACACGTCACCCATCTCCCGAAGACACTGAGGCTCCGAAGGCAGCCTAACTAGCTTCAAAAGAGTGCACCCAGGAGAAACAAGCTTGACCACTATGCCATCAAGTTCCCCCTGACTATAGTCAGCCATGAAGAAGACAGAAGACAGCAATACACTGTGTTCACTGTGCATGTCCAGGCCAACAAGCACTAGATCCAACAGGCTATGAAGAAGCTCTGACATTGACGTGGGCAAGGTCAACACCCTGATCAGGCCTGATGGACAGAAGAAGGCATATGTTCGACTGGCTCCTGACTGTGATGCTTTGGATGTTGCCAACAAAATTGGGATCATCTAAACTGAGTCCAGCTGGCTAATTCCAAATATAAAAATTTTACACTGTAAAAAATAAAAAAAAATATTTTAAAGTACATGGAATAAAGAATATATATACACATTTATATATGGATATAAATGTATATATATAAAATAGGCAATCAGTGATTTGAAAAAACTATTGGGGAAAACTGAAATTAAAGGACAGAAAGAGAATCAAAGCCAATTTAAGAGGGGAGAATGATGTAAAAATTCACTATTAGTTCTGAATGCATATATTAAGAGCAAAGATAAATAGACTGTGGAATATTTAGAAATGTCAAGAAAGGTGCACATGGGGAGAAAACAAAAGATATATAAGTTGGGAAGGAATAAGGGGAAATAGAAGATAATGACCCTCCAACCATCATGTACAATAAGCAAAACAAAGTAGGCACAAGTCATCAGCTGAATCTAGTTTCTTACCGGAAACCTGAGACGTAGCTCAAGGTGTCAGCACTGATCAGGAGGCCTCCACGAGTCCAGTCTGGTCCTCACTCTTAAGCACAATCAAGTCATAAAGTGTGTTTAGGAAACTGGCTGAGCTCTTCCCCTTTCCTCTCTTTAAGCTGATAAATTCAACCCTACAGTTTTGACTACTATTTGACTGCACAGGAAGTGTTTCAAAGTGAGTCATTTCTAAAAGTATCAGATAAGAAAAGTAGAAAACAGAAGTGGGAGTGCATAATTCTTGAAAATTTTCTGTAGGACAGTGCATCTTTAAGAAAGAAAATACTTCTGTGCATGAGCTACTGATCTTCTAAGTGTTTGCTTTTGTTTCGTTTTAGAAATGCACCAAAATGACTCTCTGGTATGTGTGGGTGGGGATTGGGAATGGTTAGGAGGAATGACCTGCACAACCCCATGTAATGAATCTCAAATAACATCTTTTAAATGTTTAATATGTGTAAAGAAATGTGCCATGCCAGAATCAGAGAAATGGGAGTGGGTGGAGAGAGATTAACCAAAGAATTTATATGCATATATGCATAACCCATGGACATGGACAATAGTGTGGGGAAAGCCT